AGGGTGACATCAAGATCTACACTGGCGACTTCAATGCGAAGATCGGCTCCGACAACACGGACTATGAGCGTGTCATGGGACGCCATGGTCTCGACGAAATGAGCGAGAACGGTGAGCTGTTTGCAGAATTTTGTGGCAATAACGACATGGTGATCAGGGGCTCGCTCTTCCCCCATCGGCCAGTGCACAAAGTCACGTGGGTTTCCCGTGATGGACATACCGAAAATCAGATCGACCACATCTGCATCAGCCGAAAATGGAGACGGAGCCTTCTTGATGTCCGGAATAAACGCAGCGCCGAGATCGCGTCTGACCATCACCTTCTAATCGGCGAAATCCGCCTACGCATGGCGCGGATCCAGTGAGGGGAGGAGAGACTCGGGCGGCGTTTCAACACACGCCGACTTCAAGATCCAGCGGTAAAAAGGTCTTTTGTTGAAGAACTTGAGACTCGAGCTGCGGACGTTCCAGAACGTGGCAGCGTAGAAGAACAATGGACGGCCATCAAGAATGCCTTTATAGAAACAAGCGAGAACAACTTGGGTGAGTTGCGCACCCAGAGGAAAGAGTGGATCACAGATGAAACCTGGCGGAAGATTGAGGAGCGTAGAGAAGCAAAAGCCGCGATAGAGCGGGCGAGAACCAGAGGAGCCAAGAACGAAGCCCGTCAACGGTACTCGGCTCTAGAGAAGGAAGTCAAGCGCTCTTGCAGACGGGACAAGCGAGCGTGGGTGAACTCTCTGGCCGACGAAGGGGGGGAAAGCCGCAAACACTGGCGATATACGCCTCCTCTACGATATTTCACGACGCCTGTGTGGAGCAAGGATGAACCAGAGGATGCCAGTGGACACGACTGGACAATTGCTTACCGACCCCACTGAAACGCTGGTTTGAGCACTTCGAACAACTTCTTCAAGTTTCGACGGCCAACCAGCCATCAACATCTCAGCATGATCCGCCTAGGGTGCGGCGCATCACTCGCGTCAATTCTGAGGCCCCATCACTGCAGGAGATTGAAGCAGCTATCCGAAGCATGAAATCCAACAAGGCTCCAGGGGTCGATCGCATATCAGCAGAGATGCTCAAAGCTGACCCCATGCTATCCGCAGAAATGTTGCATCAACTATTCTGTAATATCTGGGACACCGCGACTTTTCCGGCCGACTGGATACAGGGCATCTTAGTGAAGGTCCCAAGAAGGGGGATCTAACAGCGACAATTGGCGAGGCATCATGTTACTGTGTATTGTTCTCAAAGTTCTGTACAAAGTTATCCTGAATCGGATACCCTTAGAAGATCGACGCGACTCTTCAACGGCAGCCGGCAGGATTCCGTGCCGGAAGATCTTGTGTGGACCATATTGTCACGCTCCGCATCATCCTGGAGCAGGTCAATGAATTCCAAGAGTCCCTTTATTTGGTATTCATTGACTACGAAAAAGCTTTCGACCGTCTCAATCACGAGAATCTATGGGGCGCCCTGAGACGCAAGGGAGTCCCAGATAAAATCGTCAACCTCATCGAAGCGCAGAGTTCTGCATAACGGAGTCTTGTCCGACCCTATCCGGGTAGTCGCTGGTGTGAGACAAGGATGTATACTATCACCGCTACTGTTTCTCATCGTAATCGACGAGATCATGGTAGGTGCAATTGGCCGTGTACCGAACCGTGGGCTGCTTTGGCAGCCTATCACCATGGGCATCTCAACGACTTCGGTTTGGCTGTTGATGTTGCTCTACTAGCACAACGGCGCTCTGATATGCAGAGTAAGCTCAATGACCTAGCCGAACGCTCCTCTGCGGCGGGTCTCACCATCAACGTCAACAAGACCAAATCGTTGGATATCAACACGGGCAACCCTTCCAACTTTACGGTAGCGGGGCAAGCAGTGGAGAAGGTCGAAAGTTTCCAATATCTTGGCAGCCAAATAGCGTCGGACGGCGGGATCAAAAACGACATAGGTGCACGAATCAAGAAGGCTAGGGCTGCCTTTGCGAGTTTACGAAACGTATGGAGATCCAACCAGATAAGTCAACGCACCAAAATCCGAATTTCCAACTCGAACGTGAAATCTGTGTTGTTATACGCCAGCGAGACGTGGTGTGTATCAGCGGAGAACACTCAAAAGCTGCAGGTCTTCATCAACCAATGCCTGCGGTATATAATTCGTGCCTGGTGGCCTCATAACTGGATCTCGAATGCCGAGCTCCATCGTCGATGTCATCAGAAGCCGGTAGCAACAGAAATTCCAGAGCGAAAGTGGAGGTGGGTCGGCCACACACTTCGACGGGGCGGAAACGAAATCTGCAAGCAAGCGCTGGATTGGAATCCGGTAGGACATCGCAGCAGAGGCAGACCCAGGGGCTCATGGCGGCGGAGCCTCAATAAGGAAATTAAGCAAGTCGATAGGAATCTGACCTGGGCCCATGTCAAGGCAAAAGCGAGCAGCCGCCCAGGATGGAAGTCTTTCACGTTGGCCCTTTGCACCGCTGGTGGTGCACAGGACCCTTAAGTAAGTAAAGTAAGAAGTGGAAAAATAACTTGGAGTGTAAAGATACGATTGTTGCTGTTTTTTTGGATCTTAAACGCGCTTTTGAAACAATTTCTAGGCCCTTATTGTGAAGATCAATCAAGCGCTTTGGAATTACGAGTACTGCATATAAATGGTTTGAAAGCTATTAATGATTCTGTTTCCAGTCCCGTGGGGAATAACCTTGGAGTGCCCCAGGGAAGTGTATTAGGACCCCTGCTATTTATTATATATATTAATGACTTGCGACGTGTTTTACGATTTTGTGACATTAATCCTTTTGCAGATGATACTGTGATATTCATTGCAGCTAAGGATTTAGATGATACCGTTTTACACTTGAATGAAGATTTGCGTTCTCTAAGTAAATGGTTGAAGTATAAGCAGTTGAAATTGAGAACAAGTAAAACTAAATTTATGGTAATTTCGCGGAATCGGGTAAATGAGAACGTCTCTGTTGTAATTGATGATAAGACGTTTGGGAGATTAAATATCTTGGCATGATTATTGATAACACACTTAAGTTCAACTCTCACATTGACAATGTATCCAAAAAAATTGCTAAGAAGTATGGAATTCTATGTCGACTGAAAAACGATTTAACTATTGTCAGTAAAATACAGCTGTACAAATCAATCATCTCTCCTCATATTGAATTTTGCCCTTTCATTTTATGTCTGGCCAATGCATCACAAATATCGAGATAACAGCGCTTGCAGAATAAAATAATGCGTTTGATTTTGAGATGTAATAGATTCACTTCCTCAACTTTGACGCTGGACGCCTTAAAATGGTTGTCGGTGAAGCAAAGAATTGTATATTTGACTATGGTGTTCATTTTTAAAGTAGTTAACGGTTTGCTGCCTCGATATTTGTGTGATCGAATTGAAAGAGGAAGTGACTTTCATAGATATAATACTAGAAACGCGGCATGAAATAAGAACACCACATTCACAAAATTCATTATATTATAAAGGAATAAATGTTTTCAATTCGATGCCTAGACATATCTAACGTTCAGCAACACTTACAGAATTTAAAAAACACTGCATTTCACACGTTAAAACTGTCTTTTGGACAGTTATCTAGTGATTTTTTTTTATGAATTGACAAATTATGTATCTTGACGAAGTTCTCTCTAACGGATTACTTTATATGGATAGCTGTCATAACGACTTTTTTTAATAATTATTGTAGCACTGCAAAAACTATTTCTGTTCGCCACGATGGTGATGATGGAAAAAAAATTGTCTACAAAGGTTTGAGCCTCGCGCGCTTATTACGAATATAGAGGACTGAATTTAACATTTGATTAAAAAAAAATGCAATTTTGAAGCTTATTCGAAAGATACCTGGCAAATGTTGGGGGTTCATGAGCATTCCTGACACTGCTGGAAATTATGATAGCATCAGATTGCGGGGTTGCTAGTGTAATAGGATGCTTTGTTGATTGTTCACTAACTCTTGATTGCTTGTAATACTTATTAATATTTTAGGTGGACAAAAAGGCGAACTGAGCTTTTCCACATTTATATCGCTGTGAAGCAACTGTAAACTCTAGAGGGAATTGATATCTGTAACTGAAACCAGTTCGATTTTGTTTGCCAAGCTGGTTAAAGTGTCAAATTTAATTATCTTAAAGATAAATCGTCCAGCTCAAACCTTTGTAGGGTAAGAGGTGGGACCATCATCATCATCATCAACACTTTCCTCTTAAATTGATTAAACAATCATACTGATCGAACACATATCCAACTATTATCCAACAAACCATTAATCGTTGATAAACAATCACATCAAAAATGCAAAACCCCTAACCGTCGAACAATGGCCTTCTTAGAACTACACACAAAAATACAGCCATTATTCGCGGCTCATGATTTATGTATCAACACGTATGTACAGCAGTTATACCACGGTAATCTAAACGTTGTCAGTTTCCGCTTCCCGTCGTCGTCGTCGTCGTCGTCGGTCTCCTTTCCGTTACTTCTGCTCCCCAGGCCTGTAGACTTCAATTTCCCTTTCATTTGCATTTTGATTCATCCGACGACGACGACGACGACTAGCGAAAGCGCCAACAACAATTCCCCCATAGCGTAGAAATAGATCCGAATCCGAACAGTACTAGCCGTGTGACGTCATTCAACATACCAGCATCAACATCCAACATGTTTTCGTATAGAATCATGGCAATCATTGCTCAACAACGGTACACCCCACACGCCCTCGCGGTGCTAACTTTGCCTCGCCTGCTGCGTTCATGACATGACCTACAACTTCCGTTACGTTTTGTGCATTTTCACAGCACCACACGGGTAATGCGAAAGTAAACTCTGCAGCTATTAATAACCTCAAATCGGTTCGTATTAATAGCGAGTGTTATTTATAAAACGGCACGTTTATTTTGAAACATTTGATTAAATGAAAAGCGAGTGTTGTGTTATGATGACGACGTGGTGGGCTGCGCTTACCTGGTAGCTGATGAACAGCGGTGTATCTGGTCCATTGATTACGGTGATGTTTTCGTCATCGCCATCTTCGAAGCTTTGATTCATCACAATGCTGGAGCTTTCGTCGTCCAGCGAGCTGAGCAGCGGGTCACTCAGCCCTGAGGTGTCACCTACGAGGTGGGGATGGGAAGGCAAGCAAAACTAGAACTTCGTATTCGTGGACAGTAGGTCACTGAGAGCACTTACCCAAATCAATCGAATCGTTTGTCTCGGTGTCGGTCGTCGTGGTAACGTTGGTTACGTGCGTCGAAGCCGAATCGGTGGACGTGTTGATCGTTGCTTCGGACGTCGTGGACGAACCCATGACCACCACTTTCGGGACGGCAGCCGAGGACGACGACACTGCTGCTGCTGCCGCGGTCACACCAGAATGAGCAGCAGCACCGGCTGACGGCGCAGTGCCAGCAATCGAAGCCGATTTGGGTGATTTGCTGATGCGAGCCTTTTGGAAGTAGAACCTCCGCAAAGCCGTACTCGGGTTGGTGTGCGACGACGAGGATGACGAGGGTGGAGTGCTAACGACACCGTCCGCCTCGGAGGAACCACTCGAGTGGGCCGACGGACTGGACGGGCAGGTGTTGGGCGCGGCAGCACTGTGCACCGTGACGCTGGTGGTGAAAGTACTGCCGGCCATTGTGGTCCCTACTGCCGCTGCCGCCGCCGTTGTGGCCATTGGAGGAATCTTTCCGACCGTGCTTGGACTGCTGCAGGACGTCACGATATCCATCGGTTGCTGGGGCTGCGTAACGGACACTGTCATTGCACTGTGATGTGGCACTGGAATGAAAGGAAGGGGGAAAGGGGTTGATTAGGTATTTGTTTAGTTGGAAATTCATTATCAAGAAGACTGGCAACTTTGCCAAAATTCAAAGGGCGCTTGAGCAAATATGGGAGCAACGCATAGACAAATGAACAAATATGCAAAACTTTCTTCGGAGGTTTCTGAGAATGTTTCCTATCAAATTCGTTCGTAACATTTACCTTTGCGTGGTACCTAGTTTTCTTTATATGCTGTCTGCGATATAATGGATCTTTTCATCAAAAAGGTATAAAAGCAGCACAGATTATTTTCCGAAATCAAAAATACAGACAAAATTTAATTCCATAGAAAAGTATGAAAGTTCCATTTAACATCCTTTGGAAGTCTTAGTTTTAAAAAATCCTGATTAATCCACGTACAGGTGACAAGTACTTTTGTCGTACAGTCAACTATCCACAACTCGATGTCCACTAATTCAATATTTGTAAAAATTAATTTCATGGCTACTGTGATAGCGATTTTGTATGGAATTGTTATTTTATAACTCGATAATTCGGTCGGTCCCTTGAACAGAGCTGGTAAATATCACGGCCGTCATGAGACAATGAGAAAACAGGTCCTCTCACTATCACGAGACGAAACTACCTATCTATGGATTTTTTGTCATTTTCCAAATGATCAAACACTCATGAGAATAATACTTATGCGGTTTTGACATCAATATTTCTAACTGATTTAGATGTATTTGAGCAAGCAGCCGTATGTAATCGGTAGAGTGAATATATTATTAAGATTTCCTCGGTACTAGTAACATTAACAGCAATAAATGAGCTAGTAATTACTATGATCACAACACTGTCACGTTCTGTCATGACAAAAATTTCGATGATATTTTGAAGAAAATCTCTATCATCGTTTTCTCATACGATGATAGTGACAGAAGTATCTCTGTAAATATCGCGTGAGATCTTTCATTGAAAATGACATTTGCCAGCCCTGCCCTTGAATATCGAGTTGTAGAGAGTTCCCTGTATGTATGTATGTTGTTCGGGAGTAACGTCACCCAAGCACCACAACCCTGGACGTATCATTGACACTACAGGTTTCTAATACAGTCCGCACACAATTAAGGTACATTACCTACCAAGGTTTCCGTCGTCGGGATCGGATTGTAATACTCTTGATGACCGGATACTGAATAAGCTCTTATTCTGCTTCCAATGTCTTACCGGAGACGAACCAGCCCAGGGCTGAAAGTCTTCTTAATAAATTGAATTGTTTGTTCGACTGGTTGTATGGAGATTTCGTTTTTAAGGCTTTCTCAGTCTAGAGTAATCCAAACAGTTAGTTGTGCATTGCCGGACGTTTCGGCCGTTTATTGTGGCCCTTTTCAAGGGTAAAACAGTCTACCGTTTGTCGTCAATTTTTTTGGTTGTTTGTTGCCACGATAAGCGTGTTTAGCTTGAAGTTGTATAGTCTAGTTGTATAGTGTAGTGTTATATAGTGCCCTATGTTAATTAATATTGAACTCAATACACCATACAGGAACCTCCTCCAAGCTAAACACGCTTATCGTGCCAACAAAACAAAAAAAAAATTTACGACAAACTAACAAACTAACGGTAGACTGTTTTACCCTTGAAAAAGGCCACAATAAACGGCCGAAACGTCCGGCAATGCACAACTAACTGTTTGGATTACCCTAGACTGAGAAAGCCATAAAAACGAAATCTTCTTAATAAAGATAAATAAACAATAAATGCTTCCAATGTTTGTTAAGAGTTCAGCAAACAAGAGAGCAGTTCCACGATAAATGACGTATCGGAAAAAAAATCCGACCTTCTCCAATTTGCATGAAACTTTGCAGAATTGTGTGTAATGGACAGTCATTTAAATTTTTACAAAAATTCGGCTATTTTGGATGTAGTAATTTTTCAAAATGGCGTCTTTATAATTTTTCAATAAATTGTAGCACGAAAACGTTACCTCTGATCGAAATGATGCCTGAAACAAAGTGGTAAAGAAAAATAAAGTCTTTCTGGGAAAACATGTTATTTTTTTAGTAATTTCTACTAGGGGTAGGTCACTCCGCACACAAATCTTGGGTCAACATTTTTCTCAGTCTGCCGCAAGTGTACCGCTGGTGTGCCGATTGTGCCGAGCATAGAGCAAGCTGCGATTTAAAACAAAAAAAAAATACGAATGGTATGGTATATTTGGCAACCCGGTATTTCTGACAGCTTGAATGTTAAGGTTTGCAATCGCACCCACCCCGAAAATGACGAATATCGTGCTCAATAAGGATTCCTTCTACCGATGAATAAAACGTCTCTACGCCAGCTGGGAGGAACCAGAGTTTTCCCATGATGATTCGCTGCCGAAGGTGGATTGCATTCTGACGGCGGTCGGCGTAGACGAGAAAACCATCTACAGCAAATCAGCCTCGCTGAAGACCTGGCTGCTGGGATACAAGCAACCGATACGATTACGGTAACGTGCGAAAAGTCAAATGTTGGGCGTCTTCTCCAAGGAAAACTTTCCGGGTGAATTCTGTGAATCATGGCGAGCCTTCATTAAGGACAAGAGCTTCAACACGGTGGACATCAGCGTCCCAAGCATTGCTGGTTTGAGTTCCTCTAGTACATTCAATTAGAGTATGTTTCTGAAATACACAGTCAAACAGCACGTAATGTTGTGAACAACTTCAATGACAACTGTCTAGCAGTGCTCTCATTTTATTGAATGAACAATCCAATGCCTACGAGATTGTTCCGAAGGTGTGCCGATGGGTGTGCCCAAGCTGTGCCGAATCTACCCCCCTGAATTTTGAGCATAAATTACAAAAAAGTGTTAAGGTGATACTCTAAGGAAGCTGACATTTGTGCCTTTAAAGTTTCACGCTAAGGCTTCCTTAGAGTATCACCTTAAAACTCAATCATTTCAACAAGTATATCTTTAATTTTTTACTTTTTTTTTTCAAGGAGAAAGCTTATAAAAAATACAAACTTTTTAAATATTTCAATCCATGAACATGAAAATTGGCAAGAATCGTTGAACCAGAACTTTTAGTCAAATATTTGAACTTTTTTATGTATCATTATTTTTTTAGGTAACATCATTTGAGACATTCTAAGTCGGGGGATCTTTATTCTTATGTCACTTTTTAAAAAATAGCTTTAAATTCAAACACAGTTTATTCACCAGTCACCGCTGTATAGAGAAAGAAACTGAGCCTTGTGTGCTCAGTCCGTTTTAAGACTAATAATTGCTAACTTACTGGTGCGATACGTGGCGTGATGTACCGCGTTTCGCGAAAAACCTGGGGGTTTGAATGGATAAGACTCTTGAACGAGTCTCGAAAGAGGATAGCTAATCTGTAATTGTGCCATCGAAGGAAGGCAGTTTGATTTGAGGGAGCTTAATTCTCGTTAGGATAGGACTAGTATTGGGGTAGGCCGAGCCAGACGCAACGGCTGGAGGAACTGGGGGATTTGATTTGCGATCAGCTGCTGATAGAAAACCAATCACCTTGACGTAGTTTTTCTCAAACGAATCACAAACTTAACGATACGCTTCTTCATTTTCTTCTGCTACTTCATCTTCGACGATCAACTGCAACTTCAATCTAATGGTTTTAAAATGGGAGAAGTTTCCAGCCTTTGATTTGATATTTGTCCCGCTCTTCATTCTACTCCTGCATAAAATGCAGCACGTTTTCCATAGTGTCGAGGCAGAAACGTTCTTTCTTACGACGCGACTTAGCAGCTGGTGCCATGTTAATTATCAACCACCGAACACCCCACAAATTTTCGAAACTCCAGAACAAATTCCAAATTTACCAATTATCTTGCTGGCTAGCGATCAATTGCGATTGCTTTTATCAACAACGGATCGCAAATCACGAGAGATTTGTTTGCCATCACCTCGTGTTAGTAGCTCGCATATCCTCAAACCAATGCTCAAATTTTGATCCTCGAATAAACTGACATCAAGTTGAATAGGAATAAGTTCATGTTTTAGGAATAATGAAATATTTGTATCGTAAATCATATTTCAAACCTCCTTCTCCCTCTCCCCATCCAAGAAACTGTAAATTTCCACTAACATCGAGACGACCGCGAGTGCTCGGTTCAATTCCTTTAACTTTAGATTTTAACTTTAGATTTAAGATATTAATAATGTATAATACAAATGATAATTTGGCTCTTTAAAGTTCATTCGATTGAGCCTGTACAAATAAATTTATTTACAAAAAAACTGAGCAGAGTCAGGATGTAGCACCCACAGTTCACACAGAACAGTCCAACGCAGACTGATTAGAGTCCGTATTGTCCGTACAATCACTTTGTTTCACGGTACCACGGTACTTTCACTTTCAACTGGCGTGTAAATGATGTTAACGCGAACCGAATTTCACGAATTATATGCACTATTCGTGAACTGACTATATTTCGCACTACCGCGAACTAACTATGCGAAGATACTTTGACCGGCACCAAATAATCCGGCTCAAAGGACCATTTATTATGAGCATGAGCATGATTGACCGCCCATAATTGCTACTCTGTTATTGCCAGATCAGCTGTAATTACACAGAGAACCAATAGACGATGCTTGGGACTAGCAATCATCCTCAATGTGTAAAAATTGGTGACCTCAAACTAGGCAATACCAGCGCCGGCCGCGCCCGAACACAGTTCAAGAAAGGAATAGGTACGAATGTTTTGACGTGACACTCGCTTCGATGGAAGCCGAGAACACCTCTGCTCTTCCACAAGGAATCACTGGGATATTGAGTAAGAGGGTTGGGATTACATCAGGGTTCGTTTTGGTAAACGATAAGCTGAATTGATGTCCTAACGATCATATAACGCGAAGGAGCTTGGGATTGAACCCACGATATTCTGCTTAGTAAGCAATAATATTTGCCACTAGGCAAACGAGCTCCTTTGTATTCACATTAACAAATAAAGCGATTAACGAATCTTGAATGTGGAGGGGCTTGAGATTAAACTAA